TCCGATACTTTGCACAAAAGATTCTCGCTTGTATGTTTTTGTCGCATTTTTTATTTGCCATTTTCCCTTTTATTTGCTCATGCTGGCATGTGGGTATGGGTGTTGGTGCGGGTGTCCTTGTCAGGTTCACGCATGAATTGCCACTTACTGGCCAGGATTTTGCTGCATTGCAGGATGCGTAAATTGAATTTTGTGGTAAAGTGCAAATTGGCTAGTGCCATGCTCTCCCACAAAGTCAACGAATCGGGTTTTAGCCAGTGGGGCTTCTGTGCCGATGCCCAAAATCAGCACAGAATTTTATGTAATTACGTCGAGTTGAAAATTTAAGACGCTCAAGCCCTGCGCTGCATTCAATTTGGCGGCGTATTAAGTTTTCAAGCTGTAGCTTGAAACTTGATAAATAAATTACTTGGCAGTCCGACAGTCCGGCCTTACACTTTGCACATTTTCCAGAATTATTGCAGTCAATTGACGCGCTCCGTTTGCAAAAACTCCAGACACTCCAGATCTGCTGCGATTTGCAGTCTTCCTTCTGTTCATTGGGTTTGCTTTTTTATGCTTCCCCATCGCCTGCAATTCCTTTTTTATCTTGCAATTGCAAGAAAATATTTTCATTTCTTAAGGGCAAGTCGGAGATTGGGGGACAGAAGACAGGTCGATGCGTCACAGCGCCCAGGCTGGGTTTGGCTTGCACGGACTGGCTCTCCAGTATTCGTTCTCCGGCAGCCATCACTTGGCCGTACTTTATTGGCCTGGCAAAAGTTTTGTGCCGTCACTCGAGCCGGAGTCTCACTGATTTAAGTTGGTGCAGGAGCAACAGCATCGCAGCCGGGCCATCAGCTCAACTTCAGCTCCAGTTCTACAGCTACAGCTTCAGCTTTAGCTTCAGCTCAGCCAGCTGGCTGACTTTGAGTGACGGCAGCGGCTAATGCTAATGCCCGGACTGAAGCCAAAGTCGGGGCCAACGGCACAAGTTAGTCTGGCGCAATAGTTGCGCCATTGATTTAACTAAAGGAAAATTGATTTAATGCCATAATTCAGTGTCCGACCCGGCTAGAATGTGCCAACTGACTTTCAATCAATTTGACGCATAATTCCTGATGGATTTAATCGTAATTGATGATGGATTGCCGTCTGAGAGCGAGGCCCTCAAGTTGCTGTTCGTTGCGAGGCAACGCGGCGTATGCGTAACGCAGCAACGAAAACATTTTTGGTCGCCGTTTGTCGGCCCTAATACCTTGTAATTTATTTTCGCTTAGCTTTAACGAACACTGAACGCTGTATTACCTGGACCAGCTGATACAGCCTGCAATGGTCTTTTCATTAAGTTGCCTCACATAAATCAATGTCCAGGGGAGGGAGACTAAGGATTGGAAAAAATGGGAGCGTATCCAAAAGAACGGTTGATATCCCGCTGAAATGGCACTGTGGTCTACATCAAAGCCTTGGCTTCAGTCCGATTATTTTTAATTTTAATCAAATGCATGACACACCACCCACTCCTCCCGCTGAAATGTCTGGCTGCCTTTTATTTGACTTGGCCATTTCAATTGCCGAGCAATTTCTTAATGGCTTGCTTTCGCCCCCTGCCACTTTCTGCTGTCCTTAGATGTAAATAAAAATGCATTGCACTGCCATTTCCTGTGAAAGCCAAAAGCATTTGATGTAACTCATTTCAGCTTATGCAGCGGCCACGTGACGACGACATTTTCTCTCACCGCTTTTCACCCCTTCTCATTTGTAGCGCTATTTGTATTTGCATTTGTGTTTGTGGGGGTTTCCTTTTATAAAAGGTATTTGTAGGGTAGACGGGTATATTGTATTTGTGCAAATATGTGTGACAGGATGAGAGAAGCCTTGCGGACCGTATAACTTTGTATATTTTAGTTTTTCTAATGAAAATAAATATTTTAATTTCGGGGACATATAAAGCCAAAATGTTGTTGGCACCCTTACAAAATGTGAATAAATCAATTTTAGCTTTGGAAATGCCCAAGGAAATAAAAATAATGCATTGTTATCTTTATTGTCACCATTAAGGCCTTTTTTACCAATATTTTCAAACGTTGTGTTAATTAAATCGAATTGACAATCAATATCCAGCTACATTTACAGAGTTTAATTTTAATTTAATCAAAATGTATATATCTCGTTGAAATTGATACTATTTTATACACCACATTTTTTACTGCACTTTGTGGCAGGGGTAACTCTCAGTCGGATTCATTGGTTGCATTATTCTTTCTTTTTTTTATAATGTTAAGCTTCTCTCGTTTTTTGTGGAGCTGCAACGGCTTTTATATGTTTTTCTTCACCAAAGCTGTGTGAAATCAATGGAAGCTGTTTCACTCAGCCGTCGCCTGCCATTCTCCTCCTGCTCTCGCTTGGAAAACTGCCCCTCGACTGGCCGCGCTCGTCTGTGATTGCGCAAAGTGCGGCGTTGTCCTGCGAAAGCGTTTTATTTAAATATGTACGTGTGTACGCAAAAATATATATGCATATATGTTGTGGATGTTGGATGTGGATGTATGCGAGTGTGGTGTCAGGTAAACCGTAACGGTTTAAATCTGCTTGTCCAACACTCGGCTTCCGCCCATCCGCAATTCCTCCCAGCACTTCAGCGGCCCCGTATTCGTGTCAGTTCCGTGCAGATCGCTTACAGTTGGCATAAAAAGGGCTGCCAGCAAAAACAGCAGCACGACATGTTAAAAACAGTTTTATGCACTGCCAGAACGAGCGGGAATAAAATAAATATGCTGGCCCTGGCTGACTGCCTCAACGGGTGTGGCCCTTTGGTTTCGTCCTGGAAAACGCAAAAGTGCCCACGCTTCAATGCGTGTATCTGTCGCACCAGCCACTCCTCACCCCTAAATGCTTTAAAAAGTGATTTTTACAAGCCACACAGACACATGTACTAAAGTTATATGATAAAGAATTCCGGAAAAAAAGGCAAAAAAACATTGTAAACTACACAGAAAAAGGCAAACAGTTTTTTGCCTGAATAGTCAAGTAAGCTAAGCCGACCTGAACTGTACTGAACTGCCGATTTGCAATTTTCGGCTTTGGGGCCAAAGGGTTTTCGGGTTAATGAATGAGTCGGAATCTGTATGCTATAGTTTTCAACCACGCCAGCCCGTTTGTTGATGTTGCCCCGCCTGCAATTGATGGTGATTGATTTTTTTTTGATTGATCGTCTGATTGATTGAACGAGTTGATTTTGGCCGATCTCCACCAGCGATGATGGAGTTTGCATTGCACCATGCCCGTCAGGTTAAAAACTAATAAAAAACTAACAGCAAAACGGGTGGGGGTGAAAACCTTCGAAGCGGCTTAATTGAAAAGCGGCATGGCCTAAAAACTGAGGAGGCACTGGGGAAGTGTTTGGGCTCACCTTCGGGGAATTCTTGCAATTACGGTAAAAGCAATTCCCGACCAAACTCCAAAGAGTTAGCCGGGAGTGAACCCTTAGCCTTTGGCTTACACCGACACAAACAAGCAGGCACATTTGCCACCTCTAAGGCAGGCCCACAAATTTTTATTTAAAGCACTTTACCACGGGATCGTGTTGCTTTTCCTTTCCTTTTTCTCTCTCTCGGTTTTTCTATCTCGGCGTGTGTGTGTCGTACAATCAACTTAAACTAAGATTACAAGCACCGCCCGCTAAGCTGCTGAAAAATGTGTGCCAGCGACCAGCGGAAAGGAGGCGGAGTCGTTGCGGGGGTGCGGGGAATCCGCAAAACCACTCACCGACAGACAGACGACTCCTGCATCCGCAGGCCCTCGAGGAATACGCATGCTATTTGTATTTAAAATGGGATTTACCTGGGGTTTTGTCACTTCTTTTAGCGGGGCTTTTAATTTGATTTAATGCGTCTACGCGTTCCGCGTCCTGGAAACCACCAACATCCACTCCTTTTTTGTCGGCTGGAGACAAGGACTCCTTTTGGCCCCCCCAAGGCAAATGTTTTTGTTGTTGTTGGCCATTTGTGCGAATTAAGTTTCTGGCGCCTCAGCAAAACCAAACGATCCCCCAGAAACCAGCATAATGCCCCAGTGAATTGGGCAAGTGAAAATGTGTGTCGGAAAACTTGCCGTGCGGCGTAAAACTATGTACAAACTCAATTGCAAATGTATGCCATCACGATGCCGGCACTGTTGTTGTTTAGGGAAAAATGCAAATTAATTTTCCGCAGGCTTTTTGCTGTGGTACCCATTAAATATGAGCGCTCTGCATCTGCGACACGGCTTCTTCGTGGCATTTGCCTTGGCCTCTATTTTTGGTTTATGTAAATCTTGCTATCCACTTCTTCTTCTCCAGACATTTTGCCATCCAACCTTCTCGCTGCACATCAAAGACAGCACGAGAAAATTTTCGCTAGCGGCTAGACTTTGAACTTGCTGCCCAGGAATGAGGGTTCATGAGTCTGGAGTCCTTGCTCTCGGCTCAACCGCAATTAAAACAGATTTCTTGTTTACGATGTCCTTGGCGAATTTGAAAATCAATTCTATGCGTATTTTAAGTAATTAATTTTCCTGAATTTTAATTGACTTTGCAATCTGCCCCATGCTCCTTTTGGCTCATCTGTTTGTTTGTTTATTTACTTGTTTTCCCTTAACTTGCCCTAGATAGCCCACAAAATTGTTAGACGTTGTTTTTGTATATATGTTTCCTTTGCGGTTCGGCTAAATTGATTTTAGAGCTAAGCAGAGTGCATGTGTACTTAGGTCATTTATGTCGGTAGTTGCGTCTAATCCCTCTTCAACTTGTCAGCTTTCGGAATTTCAGCTCACAAAGGTTACCACAGAAACAGCCTAAAAAGGGATTTTTATTTGCACTAATGAAAAAATGTAATTGCAATTAATATAACTCTGCGTTGAAACTACGATTTATAAAGCTTTTAAGTTGCAAATGTAAATTACTAAAGCAAAGGCAATTGTGCTTACAATTCTCTAAATTATTCTATTCAATTTCTTTATGTGCAATATATATCTTTTGTTTGCTAATTTGTCAATCGGTCTGCAATGTTCAGTTGATTTACAAAAGTAACTACCGAAAATGCCAGTTTAGCCACCTGGTAATGAATGAAATAATTGTTCATATATTAAAGTTTGAAACATTTAGAAACCTTACCTGAATATTTGTTCCCGTGGATATGGGAAAAATTGTACCGGCTGTAAATTCCACTGACTTTTGCGAATTATATAAGAAAAATATCAATAATGACTTGTATCTTCGACTTGATCCAACCCAATCCGAGTGAAATATAGCATTCTCCAGAAGCTCACAGTCCGACTTAATCTGGTCACAAACGAAGCAGAACGGAAATGTCTGCATTATAAGGCCATTCATGTAGACCAATGTGGCCAAACCTGCCCATAAATCCGCGAAAAAGAACAGATTTATCATAGAGAGTCCCAGAGTAATGCCAATCAGAAGAAACTGGACGAAGATAGTGCGAGCGATGACAGGACGAATTACTTGAGCGCTTCTGAAATATTGATGTTTATATTAAAATCCAATTGTTTTTCCCATCTTATACATTACTCCTGAATGAGTTTGTGATCCTTGATGCAGTTGATTAAATCCTCAACATTTTCATTTTCGCTTTTGTCAGGATCTGTGCAAAGTTTCTCTACCCTCTTTATCAATAGTCTGATATGGACTCTAAGCATAATTCCGTAGAGCACAGCGTAAAAATCGGTTATAAGCGCTTGGGACACAGCAAAAACCATCAGAAAGGTCTCGTGTAGGGCAGTTATCCAGAACCTTGCTTTGCTTTTCCGCCAATCAAGAAATGGAACATAGATCCGCCAGGGTAGCACTCCCGAAAAAGCAGACGATAAAAAAGTGGACATGGTATAGCCGATATATGCACTCTGAAAGAAGAGGTAGGCCATGTTGCAGCGGACCACCCATCGATGGACCTCATAGCGTTCCTCCATTGAAGTGCATCGCTTGTCCATTTCGTTGAGCAGAGTCTTCATCTTGTGAACTCGCCACAGGTGCAACCGAAGGAATAAAACTTTAAAAGGCGTACCGACGGCGTCAAAAAACAGTTGAAAAACGGTAAGCAGTTCACTTGGACTATAGTTTTTGATATCCAAAACGCAACTGATTAGGAGTCCGAACGGCAGATAATAAACGCTCCAAGCAAAAATGAAAATTGATAAAATACCGTAGATTGGCTGGCACATTGGTATAGACCTCCAACCCATCCATGTCATTCCATACTCATAATACTGAAAAGACTCGCCCGAAGTTAAGAGATCCGTTGGAGTTGGCTTACGCAAATACTTGAAAAACATTTTCCTTCCTTGCGGTCTTCACCTTCGACTTAAACTGACGCGGATTGTGTAAAAACCCTGTATTTATATTTGCCTTGACAGTGTTAGGGATTCCAATATAATTCCTTTAAAATGCAAATGTAATGCATTTAGTTCCCACGTCGTCTACGCACAATAATCAATTATCTGTTAACTATTGGTCTGGCAATATTTTCTTTTATGTAGCCACAACAAAGAATAATTGTTATTGCATTTTTGATTACACAACACGTAGCAAGGCATTTCCAACACTCAGCTCAAACTATTTTTAAGTATTTTTATTTAACTTACATTTTTATTAAAATGGATGTACTTTGAGTCGCTTTGAACTGGAAATGAAATGATTTTTTTATAGGTTTTTGGACTAGTTTTCCATTTTGTAACGTTGTAGTACTTTATTATTTTATTGTTGCGGATTCTTAAATTAACCCAAATCTGTTTAAAAGTCGGTCAAAATGATCTGATTTATCATGGACAAAGCCCAATCCGAAAAAACTGAAACTGAAAAAAAATTATTTAACTTAGCAGTTACTTAGATTTACACCCTAGCCAATTTGGAGCATTTATGCAGTTAACCAAATCTTCCATTTTTTGATCGTTCTTATTGGGATCCTTGCATAGTTTATGTGTTGTCAGCACTAATCCATAATCCAATATATTCAAGGCCTCCGAATCCAATTTATTTTATTTAGTCCACACATCTTTTATGCAAAAATTTCCCACGCTGGCTACGAACTATAATCAGTTATCGTATAACTATTAGCTATTGAACTTTTACTTTTTTGTGGCCAAAACAAAGGATGTTATTTGTAGAATTTTTGATATTGTAATCACCTGCAAAGCCTTTCTCTGCTTGAATTTCTAATTAGTTTTCCTTTCCACACTTTTTTCCCAGAGTCGTATCACTAAATAGGAAACAGTTTTCCCCACAATGGAGCATTCAGCTTTGTAAATGTAAATGTCTTTGCGGCATGATTAATATATGGATGTGTATGTGCTTTTACATATATATTGCGTAGCCGACATGTGGGCCGTGCTGCAGTACGGATAGGCCGCCATTTCATTTCCCAGCCATTGTCTGACTTGCGTTGTCGGCAGACGCGTGTGTTCGAGTTAATTTATAGACTTATCAACACTTAATCACCGGAAAAATGGCATGGCGCATGTGTAAAACGCACACAGTGCCACGCATGTTGATTACGACCGATGTCTTGGGCCGTATATTTCAGCAGGAGATGAAGTCAAAGTCAGAGACAGAGACAGGGACCCACAACCCACAGGCTTAATAGTTGTTAGTTAGTTGTGCGTGCGATGGCTCAGCGGCCCGGACTGTTGCGCTGCGTAACACATTTGCCGTAATTTATACTTTATAGCCTGGCCAGATATGAAAAGTCTCTCGCACACACACACACAGCATAGCACGCATCACTATAGCATAATATCTGGGGCTATATTTTTTCTGCTGCTGTTCAACATGTTGACTTTTATGCCATTTTCTGCGGTTGCCAAGTCATCTGTGGTCAGACTCTGGCCCTGATATTTATGCGTGCATATAAATAACAGGGTCTCCGACTTTTTCACATACTGTGACTGATACTGCGACTGTAACTGGAAACTGGGTACTGGGAACCGAGGCTTATGTTATTAGATTTACTGCGGCCTGAGGCTGCTGCTGATGATGCTGATGCGGCGGCCATAAAACGCCTGACATTCAAATAAACCGCAAAGAGTTGACTGCATAATTAAAGTGGAACACCATGATCTTTCATCATGACTGGGCTGGGCAAAAAAAAAGTTCATTAAACTGGATCCTCCAGCCATCCAATAAGCTGTCAATAGGCCAGGACAATTGTTAACCATCACGTTTGCTGATTCCAAACACAATCTGCCTCTATGCCTAATGATTGCAACAACGTGCCGCATCCTAGCTTCCATCTGTTTTTGGTTTATTTTTTCCTTGATCTGAGCCGTGTGTGTCTGCCACTCGTCTACGTGCCCAGCATTCTAAGCCATATTGATTCAACCGGCGGGAACCTTATTAAATTTTTCGATCCTAAACGTTTGCTAATTGGTTTTATGCAGTAACAGCCCCTAACCGAAGTCCACTCAGCCAAAAGAGCCTGGTTATGGGCCTCGGTTTAGCTTGCCAGCCAGGGCCATTAAAAATTGATTTATTTTTAATTATCAGTGACGTGCGGCACAATAATAAATAAACGTGAAAATTTATTGCAACGTCAAAAGCGACGGCCGGCAACCGGCGACCTCAAAAATGGAGTGTGTGAGGCAATGTGTGTGCAGTATGTATCCGCATATATGCTGTATGTTTTTCGTAAAATATTTAGAATGTTAGAACAAAATTGTGTGTGTATATGTGTACAGCCGGGGTGGTTGGAAATTTTGCGTTGAGCTTACAACAACCAGGCAAATCGAGTTGTTGGCATATTTTACAAACACTTTGCTAATGTTGGCGCTTGTCTAACATATTTTTAGTTGCCTCTGATGATGATGTTGCCTGGTGTGGCTGCCAATGCTTTTGCTTTTGTTCCTATTATTATTATTATTGCAGCTGTCGCTCATGACCAAAATGCGAACAAAAATGCAGAAAAATTCTATTATCATGGCCATTGTCGCACCAGCCGTTTGACAACCGCTCGACCAACAACATTGTCACCAGAAACATTTTACTAATTTATTAACTAAACCAATGCCGTTCACAGGCAATGAAATGAGGCAAATATTTGTCAAACTGCTGGCCAGCGCATTTTACTAATGTGAGCCAGTGCCGCTTATTCCTCTAGCCACGTTCTGTGGAATGTGACCTGTTTCAAATGAATTTTGGGAAATTTGAGATTTCTAATGCCGCTTGCCCACGCGTACATCAGTGGCTCGTTTGCCCATTTGCAGTCGCAGTCGAGGACCGCACCCATTGTGGTTGCCCCTTTTTGTGGCCTGACGCGTTTAATGAATTTTTCATGTCATCAATGTTGTACCGATGACCATTGACCATTGCCCATTGCCCATTGCCCAGTTTCAATTATTCACCACCGCTCGCCATTCGACCCCCATTCAACTGTACTTACCGCATGCCCATTCAAATCAATTTTTGATTTGGCAGATATACATTTTTTATTCATACCGTTAAGGAAAGTTCAGGTTTTGTTTGCGAAAAATTGTAAATTTATTTTCAGCAACGAGATTGGAAGGATTTTTTCATATATCATATGGCTGGGAGGAACGCAGGGTATATTGGGTTGTAGCGGTAAAGGAAAATGTGTAATAATATTTTATTTTGTTGCAGTTGAATTTTGGGGAATTATTTTAAATTGAATTACAATTTTCACAAGGTTTTAATGACCTTATTTCATAGGATAATAATAAAATTATAATTCGTTCATGTTCGTATACACATCAATGTATAAAATATAAGCCGAATCATATCATATTACAGCTAACAGGCTGGAAATTATGATTTCTAACCCAGCTGGTAATGCATGGTCGAGACTTTTAGTTGAAGTTCATTTATACGCTATTTATTTGAGTCCCATTCGGTCGCACTATCTATGGTAAATATCGTTTGCTGATGAACGCTGCAAAACGTGGCCATATATTTTATTCACATGCCAGTTTTTGCTGCTATGCGGTAATTGATACGCTAAACTGCATAACGGAGATTATGACGTTAACATGGAAACACTAAAATGAATCGCTGGCACTGAATGCCGGCCAATGAATGGAAACGGTTGTAAAGGGTAAAAAAACAAAGTGCACATCGCAACAAAGGAAACATTTAAATATTCCGTAAAAGAAAAAATGACCAATATAATTATTATTATTGTTATTATTATTATTGTATTTCACATTAAATTTGCATGCTATCATGTAGTTATGCATTCGTTGCGATTTAATTATTCACATTATCTACTAATTTTTTAAATAATTCTGTTTATTTTGTGCTCTTTTTGTTGGCGCTGTGGAATTTAATATTTCAACTGGCGCATAGGTGATGGTTTCGATGTGTGTGTGTGTGTGTGTGCGTGGTGTAAAAAGTTTGAAAAGCAATTTAAAAATGAAATTTATGAATTGTGTGCACATAAAATGCCAAAGCCGAGCGTAGAAATGGCAATTGCTCTTTTGCCCAGAAGGTAATTAGAATTCATGACACGCTTATGAAATATCACACATACGCAGTGTGGCAAAGACGATGGTTCACACCCTCCTCCCTCTTTTTCTTCTCATTCTTCTTCTTCGTCTTCTCTCGCTCCATTTTGATTTACGATTTTCAAATACACACGCACTGTGTGTGTGTGTACGAGCGGCAATGCAAAATAATTTATGACAATGCCTTGGCCACAAAAACTGCGAATTGCAATCAAAGCCAAAAATGGCTAAGGCCAGGCCAGAAGCTCATATAAATGTCAGGCGTCTAACGATGGATGCGAATCTGCCGGGAGCTGCTCTGCAGATGCATTAGTCGGCCACTTGGATTGTCCTTCGTATCTTTGGCTCCATATCTAGCTCTTCCTTGCCCCCATGCATTCAGTCTGCTTCCAGGCAAAACAAAGCTCGACTTCAATGAGGATACTGCCTGTAGTTGCCCTCTCCCTACAACTTTTGCATATCAAATGGGTTTGCTATGTAGGTTGCGCCGTGTTTTTAATGGCGTGAAGTCAGCAGCGCGTAAATAAATAAAAAAACACCAGCAACCCAGAACGTAGAAACATCATGAGGCATCTTAATAAATTACTTTGGGGATTTTGGTGCACAATTTTTAATATTGCCAGGCCGTAGCCCAGACAGCCATACACACACCCCCGCGAATGGCGGGGGTTAAAGTGCTGGGTCCGGGGAGGTGTTCGCTCGACAGTTGCTTGACATTTCGAGTTTAATGAAATTTATGCAATTTTTCTTATTTGCCAAATGCACTGCGGCATTCGCAGCTCGCCCGCGGCGTCAGCAACACGCCAAAGTGCAATGCATCAAGC